ACTCCTCCTCCTCGGGGCCCAATCCAGCTCAGGGCACATCCCCAAATCTCAGCATCGCTGTCCCTGAGGATGAGCCCCAAGGTTCTTATCATGCTCCCTCCTTGGAGGGAGTGCCTGGTTTTGAGTGGTTGATGCCTCTAAAAATGTTTCTCCTAAAACTATGTTAATCCTCTGCCATGCCCAGGGTGGGCTGTTGGCTCTGGCTGGGGGAGGGTTCAGCTGCTCTCCCGCACACAGCAGTGACCTGGGGGTAATTCAGGGCAGCTGATCCCTGCCAGAGCCCCCCTGGGATGTCCACAAGGAAGGGGAGAAGCTGGGCTTTGGCTGCCAAAATGCAGAGAGGGTTATCCCAGTTGGGGCTGGGATTTGGGGGCTGGCAGTGGTGTTCAGGATGCTCTGTGGCAGCTGCCTTCCTGGTGCTGCGGTTTAACTGGTCACTGAGCAAAGTCGAAGGCAGCGACACGGCACAACGGAGACGTGGGATTCTCTGCAGGGCAGCAGCGTCCTGTGCTTGAGGCTGCTCCCAATTTTGGGGTCGGGATTGCTCTCTGTGCTCACCTGTCTTGTTCCTACCCTCTGAAAGGGCTTTTCTTGATAATACACATATACCCACGGGATGTTTTGCTTAATCTCTCGTCTCTCCCACTCTGCAGAGCCCATGCGGGCCCCCAAAGGCTTGGCTTTCTCCGAAATCCAGTCCAGGCAGCTGACGTTGCAGTGGGAGCCGCTGGGTTACAACCTGACCCGCTGTCACACCTACACCGTCTCGCTCTGCTACCGCTATTTCGTGGGCACCGGTCACAACCAAACCTTCCGGGAGTGCGTGAAGATGGAGCGGAACGCCAACCGCTACACCATCAAAAACCTGCTGCCCTACAAGAACATCCACGTCAAGCTCATCCTCTCCAACCCCGAGGGTCGCAAGGAAGGCAAGGAGGTCGTATTCCAGACAGATGAGGATGGTGAGTCTGCTCTGAAAGGGGCATCATCCCCAGGAATAGGATCCCATGGCTGGCTGAGCTGCATCAGGGCACAGTGCACATCCCTGGTTCACGGCCAGGGACATGATGGGGATAACCCCTGCAGCCCCAGGGTTGTGCCAGGGCAGGCGAGAAAGGGGCAGTGATGGTGGCTGGGGAAGGGAAATGCTGGGGGAGGCTTGAGGGGGCTGAGGGAACTGGGTGAGGACGTCCTCGTCCTCTGAGCAGACCTGTCAGCCAGTCCTGGCCTGATGGAGTGTGCGAGAGCTTGGCTGGTGCTCGGCTCAGCGGTCGTCCTCGCTCATCCCTTAGTGTGGAACCAAAGCCTAGCAGCACTAATAATAGCAATTAAACCAAGTAATGCTTTACACTTGGGTAGCATCTTTCATCTGCTCGGTCACTGATAAATTCAGCATTGCTGTATTTCTGGGAGAGCACCGTTAGCCAGAGCCTGGTGCAGCTTTGCTCCGCTTCCCCAATGCTCTTCACCAGTTCAGTTTGCTCTTGGGTGGGTTTCAGTTGTGCAAACGAGCTCTGTGGCTGAGTGCATGTTGATCAGGGCTTTCTGGCCCTGGTTATTTCCCAGCAGTGTTGCTCCTGAGCCAGCTGAACTGTTTCTTTTCTCCCTGTCCTGGCCATACCCTGAGGCTGGGTCCCCACCACCGGCACCCGAGCGGGGCTGGTGTCCTCGCTGTAGGCTCCAGCGTTGCTCCAGGACTCCTGGGTTTAGCATCTCTTGCTCCTGCCCAGCCCTTCCCTGAGGATATCGTGGAGCTGGGGCCACCAGAGAGGTCTCCCAGGTCTGGTTTTGCCCTGAACTACATTCCCTGGCTGCAGCTCTCTGTCAACAGGGCGCTCAGGTCATTTTGGGTTTTGGACATCCAGTGAACGTGGCAGGAGGTTCAGGGCAGAGCTGGCTCCGTGTCTCCGGCGCCACCCCTCACCAACAGACCTTATCCAGGGCTGGCATCTTCTGCCAACGGCTCCTCCTCCTCACCTCCGCTTCGCTGCCCCATCAGCGTCTCCTCTGTGTGCTGTGATGACTCGGCTGCCTTGAGGACCGCTGGGCAGCCCCCAAAAGCTGCTGCTCTGATGCCTGGTCCTGGTGGGACAAGGGGTCTCATCTGGGTCCGTGGAGGGCAGCGGTGGTTGGGAATTGCCTGAGGTGCAAGGAGCTGCTGTGCCTCCGGGGTGGGTACTGGCTGCTGGAGCATCCCTGGCTCTCACAGAGTTACTGGCACTTACTGTTACACAAGAACATAATTAATCTCCGAAGCACTTTTTTAGCATCAAGAAACAGCAATTAAGGTGGAAGAGCTGGTAATTGTGAAGGATCTGGCCAGCTCCAGAGCCCTTGGACAAGCCCCGAGGAGAAGCCTGCCGTGAAATCCCCTTGCGTGGGACTCGCCTGGATTTGGGACCCGCGGAAACGTGCAGCTTTTGTGCCTGGGATGCTCATCACTCCCCTTTCCCAGGCTGGAAAGCAAAACCTGCAGAGCTGGAGCGGAGCTGGGAGGGTCTCCGCATCCCATTTTTCTCTCTAAAGCCTGAATTTGGCACCTTTCTCTGCGCATCAGCGCTTTGAGCATCCCCAACCCTGAGCCTGCCTGACCCGGGGACACCCACCTTCACGCTCCTGATGGTTTATTCTCCAGCTGTAATTGTTTCAGCCGTTGTCACTGTGCTGTGACTGCTCCAGCTGTTTTCTTACTGAATATTAATACAGGAGCTCCAGATGTTTTTTTGCTATGCTTTCCTTACTCCAACTGCTTTCCCCTATGCCTCGATTACCCGGGGCTTGTGGCTTCCCCCTGGGATTGAGCTCAGGGCTGTGTGTACATTCAGGCTCGGATGGGGTCAACTGGTGGATGTAAACCTACCTATGGATATGCTGCAAATATTACATGTGCCCCATATAGATCCGGGGCAGGTCAGTGACCTACAGCTGGAAATTTTGGACCATGTCTGCACAAAACGATGAAACTTGCTCCTGGGTACCTGTGTACCTGCTTTGGTGTGTGGGGGGAGCCCGTTCTCTCCCTTGCAGGCAGGGTGTGTGCAGTCCCACCCAGAACTAACATATATAAATACATAAATAAATATATTTGTGTATATATGGATGGCAGGGGGGCACACACACACCTGGGAGCTGTCGTGTACCTCTGCTTTTCTCCATCTGGTGCATGCACAAGCACATGGTGCCTGTACCTCTCTCTCTCTCTAAGAATATATATACTATGTATTTATAAAAATGTATATATAGGTACATACATTCCTGCCCTAAAGGCTTCTGTAATTCTCTGCAAATTTAATAAGCACTTTGTGTACACGTGTAGGACACATTGCCTCTGATTTAATTAACTTGTAAATCAAGTGGAAATTGTGTATTTGCATGGTGGGAAGCGCGCGGAAGGTGATCCCTCTCTCTCGGTCCCGTAATTAGATCTGAACAAAAGCTGCAAAAAAAATCAAAATAGAGGGGAAGAGCTGCCATCCCACCGCAACTATAGGGTGCATGTTTTGGGTGCCCGCACCCTGAGAGGAAAATTCTGCTGGTGAATCGTGGTCTTTGCTGAGCCATCGTCTCTCCTTGCTGCCCGCCTTGGGTCAAGAAATCCCTGGGAACGAAGCGAATATTGATCCCTGTACTGTCGATGGCTGTTATTTGCTGTTAATTTTGGGTTTGGTGTTAATTAGAGGGGAAGGTTTGGGCGTGTCGAGCCCCGTCTGTCATTGCTCACTGGGGGAAGCGCCGGTAGCGTCTCCCGTGGGTGCAGGGGGATCTGGAGAGGGGGAGATTTGGGTTCTATGGGAAAAGGGAATTTTAATTCCCTTACCTTGCGTTGCTGAACTCAGGCGAGCTCCGCCAGTGACTTTGTGCTGCTGGAAAAGGCTTGCGATGGCAGAAACGCTCCCTGTGGGGGTTCATGCCGTGGCGTGGGGACCTCCCCCCGACCTGTGGCAAAGTGTCACCGGTAGACCTGGGAGCATCATTGCCCTGGGGACCTGCCAGTCCCGTCCAGGGGCACGTGGCCAGAGCTGGGTGACGTGGCAGAGGGGACGCGGCTGCTCAGTCACGGGGGAGAGCTGCTGCAGCTGCCCGGGAAGGTTTGCTGGAGGATTTCTCCTTCCAGCCGGGTTTCTTGCCGCATCCAAGCGTGTCTCCTTTCCTTCCCCAGTGCCTGGCGGCATCGCCTCGGAGTCCCTCACCTTCACCCCGCTGGAGGATATGATATTTTTGAAGTGGGAGGAACCGGTGGAGCCCAACGGCCTCATCACGCAGTATGAGGTACGTCCCGATCGGCTGGCGCACCCGTGGGGTACCCCTGGGGACACGGGAGGGTCCCATTGTGGGGGGATGTGGTGGTGATTAAGGGTGGCTGCAGACTTATTGCTGCTCGTTTGGGGCATGGATCCAGCCTGCGATCGCTCTCCTGCTCTAGGCCGGGCC